TCTTTAAGAATAGGTGATGCTTTACCCTTGCATTGCATATTGTGCAGACCTGATGAGGAGCTGAGGCAGTTGTTGATGGTAAGCCTATATTTTCTGATTAATGGTAAATGCAAACTTCTTTCTCATTATCGTCATATACAGGAAGCAGAAATCTTGAAAGAGAATCACCATGTTGATGTTAAGATCTGCTGTCATTGTGTCTTTAGCATAAAGAAGGATGTTTATGGTTCCTGGGCCCTGCAGTCAAGCAATGGGCATGTCTTGGGACCATTACTCAAGTAAAGATGATTATTGATTGTTTATATTGCAGAGAACTAGCTGTTGAGATCTGCAAGTATTTCCAAAGTCACCATAATACAGACACTCCTTAAGTTGGAGTTAGTGATTATGCATTACCAGGACTGCCAAGGACCATTACATCCCACAAATCAAGGGAAAATGACTTCCTTTTTATTGAGAGATATTCCAAGCTCCAAGCTTTAAGTTCAAGGCACAAGTTTAACTGTTTCACCACTGCATTCCTTGAGGAAAGATATTGTTTTCTATGGAGAATAAAACTAGAAGCATGAAGCCATATGTGATTAAAGTTTTACTTGCTGAAGGCTTTTATTGAGTCAATATACATCTGAATGTAAAGCACATTACTGTATTTTAGGAGACCAGGGACTTAGGACAGAGACTGTCAGATTGTGATCTGTCACTGAGACCTGGGGAGGTTAATTTCTGCATCCTGGGGTACCAGCTGAGCAGAGTCCTTTTACATAATTGAAGAAATGGGGTTATAATGGTGGGTCTTTCTTCTTGCCTATGAGATGCATATATTAAATTAACATCTAGGTAAAGAATCTGCCTGCCAGTGCAGGAGACACAAGTTCCCTGGTCTGGGAGGATTCCACATACTGAAGAGCAGCTAAGCCTGTGCTAAGAGTTGCTACTGAGCCTGTGCTTTAGAGCCCAGGCGCCGTGGGCTCTGAGCCCATGACCTGCAGTTACTGAAGCCCACACGCCCTAGAGCCCCCGCTCCACCACAAGGGAAGCCACCGAAATAAGCCCTGCGCTACAGTGAAGAGTAGCCCCTGCTCGCTGCAATCAGGGAAAGCTCACACAGTGACAAAGAGCCGCCACAGCCAAAAAAATTAAATAATAAATAAATCTTAAAAAAATAAAATAGACATCTAGAGACCCTCCTTTCTTATTCATTCTAAAATGGGACCAGATCCAGTTTTGATTTCAGTGGGTTGAGTCCATTCTAATGATCGCAAGATATTCATCTATAATGAATGCAAAGGTGATAGAATATAAACACACCTGAGCACTTCCACTCTCAAATTAAAACTCACCATTAAACTGAGAACACTATCTTGCTCCCCTGCAGAATAACAAATAATGAAAAGTATACAAAACCATGATATACAAAAGAAATACCTACCCCCATCCCCTTACAAATACATAATCTTAAGCTATTCCCCAAATGAAACTCCTTATCACCTCACATACTGTGTGATCCTGGAGACATCTTAGGTCGTCAGCTCTGTCATGAGAAAGTGATAAGAGAGGGCATCTCACCATCCCACTCTGTTTGCTTTGTTTCCTCTTCTCCTCTCCCTCCTCCTCCTTCTTTCTCCTTCTTCTTTTTCATTTCTCTCCCATCTCCTAAGTTTTCTTCCTTTCATCTTTTTTTGGGAGGGCCTTCCCAGGTGGCACTAGTTGTAAAGAATCTACATGCCAATGCAGGAGATGCAAGAGGCCGGGGTCCCATGGATTTGATCCCTGGATCAGGAAGATTCCCTGGAGTAGGAAATGGCAACCCACTACAGTATTCTTGCCGGGAAAATCCCANGACACGACTGAGCGACTGAACTGAACTGAACTTGGAGACACACACAGCTGAATGTCTCGATGCAATGGTGTTCTCCTTTGCTGAAGGAGGTTCTGACACTTCACTTTGCTTAGTTAACAAATGTCTGGTAATATTCTGAGATGACCAAGAGGGATGTAAGAAGTCTTTTCACTCAGCTAGCACTAAGCGCTACCTGTGGTTTGTCTTTGCTATTGAGGATCCTCACTCATCACCCATGTCTGGATACTAGCTCTTTTCTGGAGGAGACAATGGTATGTTTTCCAGAAATCCCTTTCTTACCTCTCTGCTGGCCTCCATGGGACCCTCTGCACTGAACCATTCCCCCGATAGCACACACGTCCATAACTTCTCCTTAGCTCATCCCCCTCAATTCCACCAGGTCTGCACCCCACCCAGCTTCCCTCTGCTAGCCTCCATTTGCTCTGCAGATGATGCTCTTAGCTTGGAGCGAACACACAGACTATTCATGGAAATGAAGCCAGGCAGAATGCTTCAGATGGGCAGAAAATATTTTTCCTCTAAAGGTCTTGATTGAGTTAATGAGCTCTGCTCACATTATTGAGAGCAAACTCCTTTACTCAAAGTCAACTGATGATAAACAACAAATCATCTACAGAACACCTTTATAAGAACAGCTAGGCTATAGTCTTTGACCAAACAACTGGGCTCCATAGCCTAGCCAAGCTGACACATAACTTAGAACCATGAAAGTCTCCATTTTCTAGAAAAGCTGGGCTGACAGTTTCTATTTCATAAAAATATAGTTGAAACTACTGCATAAGACTTAAGGCAATAGTGAATTAGAATTTTGCTTATAAGTAATCTTCCTCTCAGTTTATAAAATTATTCTCATATTTTTAAATGATCATTTTCTTATGTCCATTTTTTAAGAGAGACTACTAGCACAATTTCACGATCATTCAATAGAAGAACTAAACCTCTTAATAAAATGTCTATGTGTATTCACAAAAATAATTTTTCTCTGCTAATGAGCCCTTTAGTCTCTTCAGTGTATTTCTGCTAAGAACACAGCTCTGACCCAGCTGTGCACAAGAGACTTGCTCAGACAAAGGGCAATATTCAAAGAATTTATTTCCCAGATCATTTTTAATCTATTTGCCCAACCTACATCTGTCATCATATTTGTCACGTTTTCTTAATCTATTTGCCATTTTTGTGCCCCCATTTTTGTCGTGTCCTTCATTGATCATTTTCTACTTTTCTGCTTTGTTTCTCGCACTTGAAAAAAGTATTCACCCTCCTCAGTTTCCAAAATTTTGGCAGTAGTAACATCTAGAATGGATATGGTTTTGTTAGGATAGGGCTGTCTTGTCCACTGCGTGATGTTTCACAGCATCCCTGGTCTCTTCCCACTAAATGTCAGTGCCATCCCTCTCCACCCCCATTGTGACAATCAAGTGTGTCTTCAGATATTACCAAGTGTCCTCTGGAAGTGAGCTTATTCTGTGTTTAGAACCATGGATTTAGATGGTGTCCTGAGAGTGAGTTGTTTTGGATAGTTCTTGACAGTGAACACTAGACCTACCCACATTTCAGATAGGGCTTGGACAGTAAAAATGCAATAGTATATCATTTCATGCATTAATGAGGTGCTGTGAATGATGATTACCCAGTAAATATATTTATAGTTCATAAATAATGTTGAATACTTACTTAGCAAATATTATTCCACAATTGCATATAAATATAGTAGTTGTAATTATGTTTGGAACTATCACCAGTGTAATAACCTGTTCAATTACAATTAGAGAAACAAAATGGTATTTTTGTGACAAGCTCCTCAGTTCTAGAATGGCTAAGTTGTCTGTTAGGATCATGCCTATTCTGATCATCCTAGACCAAGAAGTAACAGTAAGATGTAGGTTATCTTCTCACTCTATTTCAAATAGTCAAGACAAATTGAGACCAATTGCTGATTTATAGACTTCTGCAATATCTCTTGGACATTCTGAGCGTTTTCTTTGATTTGTCTGACTCATTCAGTACACTCCACAAAAATGACTTCAACTCTTTCTGTATGTGCCAGCAGTGATGAAGTGGATCTCAAACTACATTTATTCATTTTGCGTGTTTGAAGGTGACATCACAGTTTCAAAAGTATCTCAAAATCTCAATGCAATTCATCATATGGGTACTTGACTATGAACTTCTTCAGCTGTATCTACCAAATATTTCATGCTACAAGCATATACACAAAGAGCTTCATATTTCAAACACAAGAAAACAAGTTCATTTAAACAAATATTTATTTGTTCCTGCTATATACCAGAGTTCAAGCTAGGTCCTGGAGAATACAAGTTCAAGTAATTGTGTAATGGAACTGATACACAGTTATAAACAATATTATAAACTAAATATACTTTTAGTGAGACTGATAGGATCTCACAAGACAAGACATGAAGATCAGAAGACCTTTCCCAGAAAAAGTAAACATCAAGTTAGAACCTAGAAGACAGTACATTTGAACAGGCAGAGGAAGGTCACAAGAAAGGAAATGGGACACGTGAAATATGCAGAGTTTATAGGGAGATACTCCCTTACCCTTTGTGTGTGGGAAAAATCTTGAGCTTGAACTAGAAAATTTATTGGCCATGGATATTATGGTCACAAATTTAGATTATATTATATAGGAAACTGGAGCTCGAAAGAAATTTCTGAGTAATCATTTTAGAATTTCATCCTGTCACCTAAATTTAATGTCATTTTGAGGGGCAGATTTTTAAATGAGAACTTTCATTTTATTGTTTTAGTCAATGCTTGTTTTGTGATATATTTGCAGTTCACTTCTTTTTCTTGTATTTATCATTCTGGCCAGAAAAGGATTAGAAATATTTTGTAGTTTGTGGGTTATCTCCTTTCTTTCAACTCTTGCCAACTTTTTGGAAAGGAAGCCCCAAGGCAAGACTTGTACCTTCTATGTAATTTGTTGCTTTCAGAATATCAAATGTTAGCAGTTGGTTTAACTCTTCTTTCAAGGGAGCACAGCACTTTAGATATAAATTGTTTATTAAATGTGGAAAACTATCTTGATATCTTTTGTTACTCAGTAGTTGTCTTGATTGAAAAAGTCTATTATTTTTTGGTGTTTCTGACACATATTGCATTATGTTGCACACAGGTATGCTTCCTGATGGACATAGGAAAACGTTGGAGACAGAGCAATCCTCTCAGAGGGGCTGAACGTTCCATCTCAGAAGCAGTGCATATTTCTTATTAGTGACAACTTTAAGCATGCTTCTGTGTAAAGGCATGAAAGATGTTTTGAACAATGTCCCTCCATTAATACCAAATTATATTGTCAGGTTTTTATTGTTGGCTGAAAAAAAAGATCACAACATTTAAAAAAAATCATCATAGACAAAAATAAAAGCTAGTGGTTGCATTTGCAATCATTAATCCATTCACTTTTGTGTTATTTTTAAAAGCAGTAGGCTCAGTTTTGCAAGTTTTCCTCTTTTATTTCATCACTTAGTATTTATCTATTTTTGGCTGTGCTGGGTCTTCTTTGCTATGCACAGGGTTTCTCTAGTTGCAGCGAGTGGGAGTTGCTCTCTACTTGTGGTGCAGGGGCTTCTCCAGGCAGTGTTGCAAATCATAGGCTCTAGGGCACAAGGTCTTCGGTTGTTGGGGCGCACTGGCTTAGTTGCTCCGCGGCATGTGGAATCTTCCTGCATCAGGGATCGAGCCCATGTCCCCTGGATTGACAGGTTGACTCCCAACTAGTGGACCACCAGGGAATTCCTTGGACTTTTCTTTTTAATAATACATGCTACAACCATATACTCTTATAATCCATAAAACCACAAGGCTCTGTTGGGTATTAGTTCATTTTCTGTTTGTTTGCTTTGCCTTGTTTTAAAATAGCATACAGAGAAGTTTATTTGTCCAAGATCATACAGCTAGTTAGCAGTATATTGTAAACTCAGTTTTACTTTTAAAACTCTTTTTAACACATCACCCTATGCAAGAAGTAAAAATGGATTAATTGGAAAAGAACACATCCTGATGATAGTGAACCATTAAAATCTTCTGGGTAATTTGCTGTTGATCAGTCACTCAGGTGTGTCCAACTGTTTGTGACCCCATGGACTGCAGCACTCCAGGTTTCCCTGACTTTCACCATCTCTGCAAATTTATTCAAAATCATGGCATTGAGTTGATGATGCCATCCAACCATCTCATCCTCTGGGTACTAAAGTATCTATTTTCCTTATTAATATCTTCTAAGCATTTGACATCAAGGAAATATTGAGCATTAAGTTTTCAAAGGCCTGGGGAAAATGTCACATTTTGTTATTAAGGATCTATGCTCTTAACAAATTGCGTGTCTTCATATTTATTTTACAAAGCCCAGAGAAAGTTAAAATGAATGCTGAATAATGCTCTGAATAATTATAGCCATACTTATGATGAATATCAAAGAATATTTTTTGAGCAAGTGGAGTACAAATTGAGAAATGATGATATGAAAGAAATAATGTGGAGAATTGGATGGTATTGCTTGCAAAGAGAAGTTCTACTTAAATTGTGACCCTTCTACACAAAGACAAGAATGTTCATGCAGGAGACCCAAGCAAGGAGCAGGCTTTCTTGCATGTTATATAATGCATTCTCATTAAATACATTTGGCTGCCATATTCTCATAACAACAAAACTAGAGATTCCCAGCTATTATGAAATTAACTTAGGGAATTGGATTTCACATAATATAGAAGGAATACAAAGATTACCAACAAGAAAATTAAAATTAGGAAACATGAAAATGTTTTTACTCTTTTATATATCATGCACAAAATATTTTTGCTCCCTGATGAAATAGAGAAATGCAAGTATGTAATGATAAATTCTAAATTGCTTTAACTCATAGTACCAGGCTTCTTTGAAGCAGTGATCAAATTCCTTCTAGCCACTTAAATCATGAAATAGACCAGTTTTGAACAAATTATATTATAAGGAATTAAGATTTATTTAGTTTGTCCATTGTTCACCTCAACCCCCAAAGATGGCTTATATTGCAGTGACTACACATAACTATTCATTATTTGCCTCTATTTTTCATTCTATTCCATATTCAACCATTGAGTATATGAAAGCATTTTCTATTTACATATAAAATGAGCTCTATTAAGAATAAAATGCTCTCATTTTTAAAGTGTTTCCTGAAAGTGATAACACTAAGTTCGGGAGAGAGAGACTGATTTTACTGAGAAATTGGGATCTTTAATATGCTCTGAACTGTTATGGCAGGATGACACATCTGTTTCCACATCTTATTCTTGAGAAATCTTCCTAATTTTTTTTCCTTTTAAACTTAGTTATCAGGGATGATTTTTTTTTTAATTCCTGAGATACAAGCTGGTGAACTTTGGTGACTTACCTTCTAGCCTCAATTTCATCATTTTTACTCTTGGATTAAAATTGCATATATGGCAGGATTAGTCTAGGGACTAACGGGGACATTATATTAAAAACACTTATTACCTAATGGAAGGTGGTGACAACATTAGGTCTTTCTTGCTATTTTTCTTAGTTTTAATTTACACATCCTAAAACAGGGAGATTTCTTCAGTTGATCCTTAACACTGAATGGCATTTCTTATCCTCAAACAATTTATATAGCAGTCTTAAATATTAGCAGAAAGAAAAAAAATCCCCATTAAAAATAAATGACTCCATCTAGCAAAAGAATTGTTATGCTGCGAGAGTAAAATGGACAGGAATAGACATTTTACTATTCTCCTTCTATGGGGGTGGGGGGAGGAAGGAAGGGTGGGATGAATTGGGAGATCAGAATTGGCAATATACACGCTACCATATGTAACATAGGTAGCTGGTGGGGAGCTGCTGTATTTTGTGACCCACCAATAATATAGAACTCACAAACTGAAAAATTTTGCTAAGATTTTCCACATTAGATTTATTGAAGCAACTAATTTCATGTCTGAGCACAAGAAGTTCAGCTCAGTGCTTTGTGATGACCTGCACAGGTGGAATGGGGGTCTGGGGAGGGTGGGGAGGTCCAAGAGGGAAGGCATATATGTATGCATGCATAGAGCTGATTCACTTCATTGTGCAGAAGAAATGAACACAACACTGTAAAGCAATTATACTCCAATAAAAATAATGCACTGCGTTCTGCTTTTTAAAATAAAGAAAATGTATCCTAAATAGTTCTACTAGGAGACTGTCCACCCTGTTCCCAATGCAGTGGACCACACCATGCAGTCAGGGCAATAGAAGCCAGGGAAGGTTTTTGTAGATCAGCGGTTTTCAAATCTGTGTAAACTTGATCTGGACTGAGAAATACATTTTACTACAGAATCTATTTCTCTTTCTTTCTTTTTCTATGTGTGTGTGTGTGTGTGTGTGTGTATGTATTTCTCTCAAAAACCAAGATTTCAGAAAAAAGATGTGTGAGATAACTCTGAACGTCCCTTTCCCATCTCATCCCATCCCATCCCAACCCATTCCATCCCATCCCATTCTATCCCATCCCATCTCATTCTATTCTATTATTTCTCACTAGAAGAAGTACTGATCACCATCAATAAATAGATTGTGTGATCCACTAATGCTACAGAACTCACATACTGAAAACTTTTGCTAAGGAGATTTTCCACATGGGATTTATTGAAGCAGCTAATTCTGTGTCTTCCTACTTGATCTTATCGCAAAAAAAATGTCTTCTATTTTATGTACCAGCACACTATCTCTCTCCCAGTAAGTGAAACAAAATTCCTATTAGACGACTGTTCTACCTGGGTCACTAGATGTTCACAAAAGAAATCTTAGATTTCTAGATACTTTTTATCAGATAAAATTACAATCTTTAGATGGAAAGATAATTTAGGATAAAATCAGAGTTGTTATTTTAAAAGGGATAAATAATAATTAGGAAAGCATGTTGAGGCAAATTTAAATCAATTAAAAATATCTCACATATGTCTATGCTTATATCATAAGCAAAAAGACTACTAACAAGTCCGTGTTTGAGCTTGAATTCTTTCAAGTTAAACTCTTAACGAAGTTTAATGTTCTTTAATGTTCATATCATGTTTTACAGTTTATATGGCACTTTAATACACACACATTACATTATGAACATCACATAATGTATTACAAAAGATTTAGGTACTTGCTTCTTTTACAAATATATTGCATTACACTGTGCTCCTGATGGAGAATTATGTATGTACATGTGTGTGCGCAGTCTTTCAGCCATGTCTGACTCTTTTTGACGCCATGGTCTGAGCCCATCAGACTTCCCTGTCCATGGAATTTTCAAAGCAAGAATACTGGATCAGATTGCCATTCCCTACTCCAGGGGATCTTCCCCACCTAGGGATTAAACCCTACAATCTGCTCAGATGGTAGAACCCACTTGTATAATCCCACTATCTAGTATTAAATTCTTTGTCCAGAATGAGACAGAGAGAAAGCTTTGGCAGGATATACAGGAGCTGAGCCAGTGGCATTGTAGGAAAAATCGTAGCAGCCATCATGAATTTGGGTATTGTCTTGAAAGGCACAAGAAAGAAATAGATAAAGCAGCTTGGATAGGAAGACTGAAAGAAAGAAGCTACAGGGAGCCGCAAGGACCTAACCGAAGTTTCCAGAATGACAGATGGTAGCGGTTCTGATGCACTCATTTTTAGGGAGTTGTCTGAGAATGTGTTTCACCCAGTATTCTAACCTTTGTGCCTTAGTAATGGACATAATATCTACACATGATTTTGAATGAATCCATCACCTTACTGAAACTGCAGGTAGAACTGTCACATGTGTTAATATTTAGTTGAAATTCCTGGGAGTTAGTGGTGAGGGAGACTTACTTATATGTAATAAATCTTGTAAAATACTTTTTTCAGAAATCTTTTCTCTTTTTAAAGTAATCATTTCACATAATTTTAGCCATTAATTCTCAAAACACTGAATTAGAGTATTTGCCAAGACCAAGCATCTCAGGAAACCTGAGCTGGGACAACTATAACATAGGCCTTTAAAAATAGTCTAATGATACAGTTTTATCAGATGAAAAATTATAATTTAATCTAATTGCCATGCACTTTATTGGAAACCTTTCAAAAATATCACATATCTTCAAAGGAAATGTGGGAAACCAGAAGATTTAAAAACTGATACCTCTAAACATTAAGATAATGAGAATTCAATCAAGGAAACATATATGCAACCAAAACCCTGGAACAAGTGAGTCAGAGAGGATTTCTTATCAATCAGCTAAACAGCATCTTTTGATACCTGCTGTGTGTAGAGTGTTGAATAAGACTGGAATGA